ATAATATGTGTGTATTATTGTACTAATGCTGCTGCTCCTCCTGCTGCTCTTGCTGCTGTTGGTGGTGGTGGTGCTGATGCAGATGGTGCTGCTGTAGGTGGTGGTACTGCTGTTGCAGGCGGTGACAAACAGCAGCAGCAGCAGCAGCAGCAGCAGCAGCAGCAGCAGTAGGTATGCCGTACCATTCAGCCTTGATATGTATAGGCAGCAGCAGCAGCCGCACACATTGAGCTGTACATACACCTGCCTCTAACACCTGCAGCAGCAAATAGGCCATGAAGTGTGGGCGGCTCTTCTCCCCTACACAGCTTCCTGCAGCAGCAGCAACAGCAGCAGCAGCAGCAACCGCAGTATAAGGGTAGGGTATATATGCAGGGACACAGTGTTCTGCTAAGCTCCAGCAGCAAACAAGAAAACAGCAACACCAGCAACAACAACAGCAGCAACAGCAGCAACAACAGCAACAGCAGGAGCAACAGTAACAGCAGCAGCAGCAGCAAAAGCAACACGAGCAGCAGCAGCAGCAGCAGCAGCAGCAGCAGCAAACCTATCCAGGGGCAGTGGTGATCATGCGTGCGTATGCAGACACCGCAATCTGCGCAGTGCTTCGTCCTTAAGGGCTGCAGCACACACACAAATTTGCATGCATTGCTGCTGCTGCTGCTGCTGGGGCTGCTGCTGCTGCTGCTGTTGCTGCTGCTGCTGCGGTTGGGCCTGCTGCTGCTGCTGCTGCTTACCTGATACATGCAACAGCGCTCGCAGAACCGCAGCTTTACTCCGTATTGCCACAACTGTCTCCTCCTCACGGAGAAAGGGAGTGCAGCAGCAGCAGCTGCTGCTGCTGTTGATTCTGCTGCTGCTGCTGCTTCTGCTGAGTCTGCTGCTGCTGAGGGCGATATCTGCACTACAGCAGACTCAGGATGCCCTACTTCGCTTAGCTCCAGCATCTCCTGCTGCTGCTGCTGCTGCTGCTGTTCTTGCTGTTGCTGTGCTTCTTCTGCATCGCTTGATCGTGCTGCTGCTGCTGTTGCTGCTGCAGCAGCTGCTGCTGCACCACCACCTTCGTCACCTTGAATAATGCGAATCGTAACATTCTGCATTGCTGCTGCTGCTGCTGTTCCTTCTGCTGCTACTGCTGTTGCTGCTGCTGCTCGTCGCTGGCGTTTCTTCTCTTCCCGTAGTTTCCTACGAGCCTCCATTTGCGCTGTATCTGCTGCTGCTGCTGCTGCTGCTGCTGCAGCTGCTGCTGCTGCTGCAGTCGGCTGCTTTAAATGGGATGCACCTACAGAGCTGATGGTGCCTGCTTGTGCTACCCAATCATGAGTACGCGGGCTGCTCCTTCTGCTGCTGCTGTTGCTGCTGCTGCTGCTGTCGTCCGTGTTGCTGCCTCCGATGCTGCTGGCCCTGCTGCTGCTGTTGCTGCTGCTCTCAGCTGGATGCCGCATGGATGCTGGCAGGTAGCCCCTCCTGCTGCGGTGTATCCTGCTGCTGCTGCTCATGCTGCTGTTGCAGCGCAGCACCTTGTTGCAGCTCAGGTACACCTGCCGCAGCGATGCTGCCTGCAGTCCCTCAGCAGCAGCAGCAGCAGCAGGAACTCGATGCATACCGTACAGGGAAGCAGCAAGAGAACCTTGCTGCTGCTGCTGCTGCTGGTGGTAGTGGTGTCGCCGGTGTAACTGCGGTTCCTCCTCCTCCTGCTGCTGTTGCTGTTGCTGCTGCTGCTGCTGCAGTGGCATGTGCCCCACATTGGCTGGGCTACGAGGAACGACCGGCAGAGGGCGCTCGTACTCCTGCTGCTGATGCTGCTGCTGTTGCTGCTGCTGTTGTTCCTGCTGCAGCAGCTGCAGCTTATACTGTTGCTGTTGCTGCTGCTGCTGTTGCAATTCATGCTGTTGCTGTTGCTGCTGCTGCTGCTGCTGCTGTTGCTGCGGCGCCAAGGAAATGTCTTCGTCGCTTGAGCTTGCTGCCAACATCGCACCCAACGGCTGCTCCTGCCTGAAGAGACGCTGCTGCTGCTGCTGCTGCTGCAGTTCGTGCTGCTGCTGCTGCTGCAGTTCGTGCTGCTGCTGCAGCTGCAGCTGCATCTCGTTCTTCTGTTCCTGGTGCAACAGCTGCACCTCCCTCCGATCGCCTGGGAAGGGCGTTCTGCTGCTGCTGCTGCTGCTGCTGCTGTTGCTGTTGCTGCTGTTGTGGTTGACCCTGCTGCGCTGGATCTCGTACATGTTGCTGCTGCTGCTGCTGCTGTTGCTGTTGTTGTTGTCTGTGGGGTATTCGAACATATTTTCTTCGCAGAAACGATCTAAGCTGTCGTTGCTGCTGCAGTTGCTGCTGCTGCTCTTGCTGCTGCTGCTGCTGCGGTATCTGCTGTGAGCAGCAGCTGATCGTGGTGCAGCTGTGCTTATACTTCTAGGTGGGTTGCGGCTGCTGCTGTAGCTGCTGCTGCTGCTGCTGCTGCTTCTGCTGCTGCCTCCCCTTCTTTTGCCTCCATACCTGCTGTTGCTGTCGCTGCTGCTGTTGCTGTTGCTGCTGCTGCTGCTGCAGTTGCTGCTGCGCAGCACCTGATGGGTCCTATACTCCCTCCTATCCCTACCTAAGAAACGCGTTATCCCCTTCATACGATCACGGGCATTCTTATTCCATGCTTTTTGCTTCCTCCCTCTTGCTGCTGCTGCTGCTGCTGCTGCTGCTGCTGCTGCTACTGCTGGGGACCCACCCCCAATGTAGTAGGAAGGATCATTCGTGCTGCAGTTGCTTGTGCTGCTCTCCCAGCTGCTCTCTGCTGGTTCTTCATAGCGACGCTGTCTGCTGCTGCTGCTGCTGCTGCTGCCACGCTTCAGCTGCTGCTGCTGCTCCGGTGGCAGCAGCAAAGATGGGCAGTACCGCAGCACCCCACTGCAGCAATTGCAGCACAGCAGCAACAGCAACAGCAGCAACAGTAACAGCAGCAGCAACAACAACAATAATACTAACTAAACACATGCGATTACCATGCAGCAGCAACACAACAGTAGCAGCAGCAAGACAGCAACCGTAGCAGCAGCACAACAGCAGCAGTAGCAGCAGCACGACAGCAGCAGTAGCAGCAGCACGACAGCAGCAGGAGGTTTACGGGTCTGTCTTTGCAGCAAGGAAGTATGCAGTAACTGCAGCAACAGCAGCAAGCCATGTTGCTGCTCCTGTTGGGTCCTTTGGGGAGAAGAAAGGAGGATAAGCAGCAACAAGAGCTGCGAATACACCGCAGCGCAGCAGCAGCAGCAGCAAACCTACAAATAGGCCACCAGGGGCACCATCATTTGTATCTATGCTGCTGCCTTGCTGCAGAGGAGAGGGAGGAGAAATTAATTCAAATGGGGTAATCCGTCGATCTGCTGCTGCTGCTGCTGCTGTTGCTGCTGCTGCTGCTGTTGCTGCTGGTAGTACTGTTGTTGTTGCTGCTGCTGCATCGTCCGCCAAATGCGGCCGCAGACGGGACCTCGAGAAGGCACGCGCAGCAGGCAAGGAGGCCATGGCAAACCTTGCTGCTGCTGCTGCTGCTGCTGCTGCTAATCCTGCTGCTGCTGCTGCTGCTAATGCTAATGCTGCTGATGCTGCTGAACCTGTTGCTGCAGATACTGCTGCTGCTATTGGGGGTCACGCGGCTTTTGTAGCCGCGGAAACACTTCGGGCTGCTGCTGCTGCTCTTTGTAAGGCTGCTGCTGCAGCTGCAGCAGCAGCTGCTGCTGCAAGTGCTTTAGCTGCTGCTGCTGCTGCTGCTGCTGCTGTAAATGCTGCTTCTGCTGCTGCTGCTGTTGATGCAGACAGCGCTGCACAACTCGGCTAGCCATCAAACAACCCGCCGAGAGGGTTTAGGGTTTAGGGCGACAGTGCAGCCAGTAGGCTGCATGCGCCTAGGAGGGAGTGTTGTTTGCTGCTGCTGCTGCTGCTGCTGCTGTTGCTGCTGCTGCTGCAGAAAAGCAGAATGTCTGGGTGTTGCTGATGCAAGGAGCTTCTTGCAGGCATGTCTGGCTGCTGCGCAGCTGTGAGATGCTGCTGCTCGTGCTGCAGTTGCTCCTGCTGCTCCTGCTGCTCCTGCTGCTCCTGCTGCTCCTGCTGCTGTGCGACGCAAGGGCGAGCCACTGTAGATGATGGCTTGTAAGGGTTTTAATTATAAAGAGTTTCAGTGCCGCTGCTGCTGTTTCCGCTTCTGCTGCTGCTGCTGCTGCTGCTGCTGCAGCAGCTGCAGCAGCAGGAATGCACTTGTAAGGGAAGTAGCTTGAAACAAGAGGGGAGAGCAGCAGCAGCAGCAGAGAAAATGTTCTGCTGCTGCTTATATGTATATATATAAAAGGAGTGACGAATTGCTGCAGCAGCTGTTCCTGCTGCCGCTGCTGCTGCTGCTGCTGCTGTTGATGCTGCAGCAAAGGCAGTACCGCAGCAGCCAATGCCTTCTATTGCCTCTTTATTGTCTTTGTTTATTTCTTTTATATAAATAAACAAAAAATACTTTTTGCTGCTGCTGCTGCTGTCTTCTCTTATGAAACAGCAGCTCAACAGCAGCAGGTGACAGCAGCAGCAACGGGCTCCATCCGAGCAGCAGCAGCAGCAGCAACAAGAACAGCAGCAGCAGCAGGAGCAACACCAATTGCAGCCAAGTTGGCACACAAGACAGGAATCACCTCCCCTGTGGGCTCACATCGGGCCCACTCTACAAAGAACTACAACAACAGCAGCAGCAGCAGCAGCAGCTGCTGCTGCTGCAGGAGTAACAAGCCCTATTGCAGCTGTGCTGCTTGCTCAGCAGCAGCAGCACGGAGGTACAGCGTTACTCCCTCCTTCTGGCAGCAGTACACAGAAGGGCCCCCACGTGTGTAACAGCAGCAGCAGCACCAGCAGCAGCAGCAGTAAGAGCAGTGGTGTCGGCAGCGGCTGCAACAGCAGCAGCAACTGCTTCTCCAACAAGGAAGCAAGCAAGAGACAGAGCAGCAGCAGCTGCAGCAGCTGCAGCAGTTACAGCAGTGCAC